GACTGTTAGCCACATTCAATCAAGTGTTGTGGGAATGTGAAGCCATCGGCTTCGCCCTCAGCGAGGACAGGTGGGCTGCGCTCTTATGCAGCCCTGAACTTAAGGATCAGGGCTGCATAACGGGCTGAACGGGCTGCCAAGCTCAGCTTGACAGTCCCTACGTGCGATTAGCCGGGTGGCGCGGGGTCTCCCCTGCGTCTTCTCAGGACAAAAATAAAGTTTCAATCAATCAATCAATCTTGAAATTCTCGATAAGAAACTGGAATTGTTGACTTGCTTGCTGTTACAGGCTTTTTGTAATCGCTCTAGCAAAGCTTGTTGGAGTTCCTCGATCTGCTAGTTTGTGACACTTGGCTATGTAGCTCGTTCGTAAGAGCAATGGGAAGCAGCTATTTGCTCTCGCTAGACCTTACAGTAGGTGTCTGTTGTTGCAATTGTACCTGAGGAGATTGCGTTGATTGTGCCTGCCTTTGTTCTAGAAGCAGCTCAATTTTGTTCTCTAACAGGTCTATTTTCTGAGTGTAGCTCGTAATTTGCACTTTGAGTTGTTTGTTTTCTGTTACAACCTGTTCATACACCTGGCTGTGTATAAGTGGAGTGGCCGTGGAAGCCCACTTTACCTCTAGATCTGGAGTCTTTATCCCCTGGTGTTACTTGGCTGCCTGGTTCATTATCTTGGTCGCCAGGAGTCTTTGTTTCAAGGGAGGACAGGATCAAGATTTATATTGAGTCAGCGTGATGGGCCCTCCAAACTTGAGAGCTTCTTTTTTACTTTCATAAGAAAACCATCTTGGTGGCATCTCAGAAGCTTGCGAAGGTAGTCTTTTCTCACTTTTTTTTTTTTCATTGAGTTGGTCGCTCACTGGCTTAAGTCTCCTGGAACAAGCAGGATCCCCGGTATGGCAAGGATGTCCGGTGGAGGATTGTGTGTCCAACATAGATGGGTTTATCAAATTATGGGCAAACAACCCCAAGGTGTCCCTTTTCTCTGTAGATTTTGCAAACTTGCAACGTAGCACGAAATGGTTGGCACCTCTGTAAAAATAGACAGTTCGAGGAAGCTTGTCCGAATGGAAAGTGAGGGCTGCGCTCTTGGTGTTGCCTATTATTCTGGCTCGCACAAGTTCGACACCTTGCGTGCGTATGCATAGATGTCATCATCATCATCAGCCTGACTACGTCCACTGCAGGACAAAGGCCTCTCCCATGTTCCGCCAGTCAACCCGGTCCTGTGCTTGCTGCTGCCAATTTATACCCGCAAACTTCTTAATATCATCTGCTCACCTAACCTTCCGTCTCCCCCTAACCCGCTTGCCTTCTCTGGGAATCCAGTTAGTTACTCTTAATGACCAGCGCTTATCCTGTCTACGCACTACATGCCCCGCCCATGTCCATTTCTTCTTCTTGATTTCAACTACGATATCCTTAACCCCCGTTTGTTCCTTAATCCACTCTGCTCTCTTCTTGTCTCTTAAGGTTAAACCTACCATTTTTCTTTCCATTGCTCGCTACTCGTCCTCAATTTAAGCTGAACCCTCTTTGTAAGTCTCCAGATGTATATAGGGTTGAATACCATGCTCCACTCCATGGAGTGCTCCTTCTCCAGTAGCCATGCAGGTGCGAACCGGGTGCGGTCGGCCATTGAAGACGGGTTGTTGGAACTTTCGGACAAGTTCAGCCACTTCGGAAAACTTGGTGAATAATATAGCAACATTACAGCTCTGGTTATTACGCAGAATGTACTTCTCGTCCGTAGACTAATGGCCGCAGATTTCGACGATTGCTCTTGCGAGTTCAGGAGCAGTGGCCGCTTTCAACGGTAGGCCTTGTTGCAGGCGTATGACAATTTTCTAATCATCTTTAGGCAGTGAAGAGAGTGTCGGTACTCACAGTCCTATCCTCTTATTGCTAACCATTTGCTTTTGCTGGGCCTGAAGTGCGGCAAGGTTGTCTTCCTGGGCTTGTTTTTTGAATTGCCGAAGTGTTTGGCTGAGCTTCCAGTACGCTTCGTCCGCGTTGGGACGATCTGGTAATTTATCACTTATCGAGGCGTGATTGTTGGTGTTGCCAAGTTCCATCAGTGTGTTAGTGCCATTGTCTGCACAGGTGTCGGCTGTTTCAATCAATGCATCTCCATCCACGTTGCCATCTATACCTTGGCCCAACTGGAGACGCTTGAGCTGTAGCGTCTCTCCCCCTGCCCGGCTGTCGGCTGAACAGGCGTTAGTGTTGGCAGGCCATCAGCTGTAGTCGGGGTGGGTGTGCTGGTAATTTGTGATATCTGCGTCCCAGTCTTGAGACGCACCATCATTAGATGCCAGAAAACTTCCCAATTTTATTGAGTAACTTTCCAGACGTTATCATGAGCTATACGCCAAAAAAGAGAATTAATACTACAGAGCATAAAGTAAGGACACCTTGCCACCTCCACGCACAGAGCAAAAAACCTTTGGGAGGAGCAACTCCGCTCCTTGAGGCAATCAGATGAAAAACTTCTGAAAAATAATCACTAGCAGCAGTGAAACCAGACGCCCCGGCCACCCCACACTGCCCAATGAACATGATACCAGTTGTTCAAGAATAGGAGAGGAAAAGATGCTATTTTTGTAATCCTAAATGGCAGCACGGAGGAGATACGAGAGGAGAGAAAGAGAGATATGAGAGAAATAATGAGAAATAAATATGAGAGAGAGAGATGAGAGAAATAACCGAGGGGATACGAGAGGGGAAAATAGGAAAGGGACGTCCATGGCTGAGGACATGGTGGGTGGCTTTTACAGGTGTTTTTCTACCAAGTGCTGAACGTTTCTACCAACTTTCATTCTTCTATTCAAGCAACAGATTGGAGAAACTACACATGTCGCCTCAAATAATTCTCGCAGTGTCATGTCCTACTGTGACGTAAACAGGATCATTCCTTGTTGTATGTAACTTCCTCCATGTTGGAGCGTGTGCCCGTAAGGAAAGCGGTGTTCAGTCTCACAGTTTAACTCTTTCCGTGGTGTGTAGCGCAGCCAATCTTGGCAGAGTAACCATGAGTGCCCAGTGCATGCATTTCTCTTGCCAGCTGGAAATGCTCAAACTTGGTGAGGGGCCCTTTAAGGTGTTCACTGACAAAGGAGGAATTGACCCTGTGCAATTAGACCCAGTTATTACAAGGCTAAAAAACCCTACTGGCTTTTCAGCTGTCTCATTCCTGTGCTGCCCTTCTCACCCATGTCAAAAAGAAAGAGATACAGAAGCATGTTTATTTGACGGTGAACACTTGACTGACCATGCTGGATAGTAAAAAAAAAAAGGCTGCGCACTGCTAAACCATGCGGGAAAAAGGACAATTGCACCACTATGCTAAGCCCTTGGCACTTATGTGCCATCATAAACCATTATATCTTTATCCTTTCCTGTTGTAGACACAAGTTGCACATATCTTTCATCAAAAATTTGAATTTTTCACAAAGTTATTGCGCCTACATTCCTGATTTTGGGCACCTAAAACTGTGTTTTGCCTGCCTATTAATATTTGGCACATAGAACCCAATTTTTCAGAGCTTGAAAATCCAGCCTCTAGCTTCAGTCGCATGCAGCATCAACGAAGTGCACATGATACCTTGCAGATGAGTACCTCGTTTATCTGAAAAATGATAAAGAATGATGTAGAGGGTGCATATTTACAAGATGTTTCAGCACGCGAACAAAGGAAAAAGGACTGGGTAGACAGAAAGAGCGCTGACTTCCAACTAACTTTATTTCACAGAGTGGCAAGAATATATACTGCTAAAAAGGATGATAACAGAGCATGAAGGTAAAATGCAAGCCTAATCTACACATCAGTAACAAAACACGTGTGACGGGTCCTCTACATATTCTTGCCACTCTGTGAAATAAAGTTAGTTGGAAGTCAGCGCTTTTTCTGTCTACCCTGTCCTTTTTCCTTTGTTCGCGCGCTGAAACATTTTGCAAATATGACTGCGCACCAACTAGCCCAAGCTTCCACTCTTGTAGAGGGTGCAGTCCTACTTCACATGGCATAGTTAATACATCGCAAAATAACCAAACTTTAAACACAATTGGTCTTGCCCCAACACAAAGCTGTGCTCAGAATTCGCATCAAGCACTATCATCATCGGCAGTCAATTTTTCAAGGCAAGTGTCACTTCTCTCTAAATGCTCCCAGTATGAAACAGGGCACCACACTTGTTAGCAAGGCAGTGCAAAGACGTATGACGACCAGATGTTTGTCTGGTAGTGCAAATGCAGTATGATACTTAGCACAGGTCAAACTCCTTTTAGAACACACTCCAGAAGGAAAGCACAATTGCAGACAGTAAGCCTGCTTTTTTTTTTTATCCACTGCAAATGTGTGTTTGCAGGATGCAAGATGGCTGAGCGCAAACAATAGGTGGTAATGGCACACTTCACATCGTTTGAATGGGCCAACTCAGTACAGGCCTTTGTTCAAATGGGGAAAGCACCATATTCAGCTTAGATATAACTAGTACACTTTCAGTTGCTCTTCTTGCAGTTGCTCTTTATACAACGTTCCTTCACTGCAAGTACTCATATGATGTCAACATATGGCGGCACTAAAAACAGAACCCACTTATCATTACTCGCATCTCGTTATTGTACCGCTAGCATTTGTCTTCTTCACATGTTTTTTTCCCAGCTCCCTCAGTAAGGCACCATACATTGTCCCCCCGACACGCACCTTTAGTTGCACTGGTCACCCGCAACAAGTTGCTCAGCACTGTCACCTTCTCATCTTCATTCTTTTTTCATAAAGCAACGGACTTTAATAGCCTTTCACGAAATCACAGCCACAACCTGTCCTTCCACATTTTTGACCACCTTTTCAGACTACATTGCAATGTATCTTAAAACGTGCTTTTTATTTTTTTAATGCATATACCGACCTCTCATGTAATACCCCTTCAATGGAGTCATCAAGAAATGAAAATTCAAATGAAAATTCCTTGGTCTAGTAACGCAAGGTGTCTGACCTTTGTAGCTCACTGGGATGGTGCCATCCAGGCAGAAGAGCTCCTTTTTCATGCCATCGTTGAACACTGCAGTGTTGTTGGAAACAGTGAATTTTGAGTGACGCACCACAATTTTTATGTCAAAGAAACTTCTTTACCAAATAAGCAGCACTAAAAACTTGCCCTTTGCCTAGGCAATACTTAGAACAAGCAGCACTACAAGCTTGCCTTTTGCCTAGGCAATACTTACAATATAGCAGTTCGCCTCTCTTGACCGCTTAGCCTACGAAAATAAGGAGACACCCTAGTAATGACAATGCACTCCAGTAATTTGTCCATATTAAGTAAGACAGTCAGCTGAAATGTGCACATACTGTTTCTACAAATGCTGTTCGTACTGCAAACAAAAGAGCAAGATTCCTAATCAAAACAGAATGCACGCCTTGCCCTAGAACATCGCCCTCTGTGCCAGAAGTACAATGTCAAACCAAATGTTTAGCGGCCATTGTCATATTCTTCATCGACTGCATTTTTATGTATGGCTGAAGTCTGGCACATGTGCTTTGTTCCTTTAAAATAGAAAAGAGTTTATTCCACTGATATGTCCCTAGCACTGTCCCATGTTTTCCTTCTATTTTCTCAGGGTGCCATCACTTGCCACGCATTAACGTCACGATTTAACTCAGGAGCACTTGGAGTGAATGGAGTTGAGAGACACAAGTCTGCGATAGCGCGCCAAACCAATTGGAATACTGCACAAAACGGCAAACAATAATCTGACACTCAAAATTCACCTCAAAAAGAAATATGTACACAATAATTGGCTCTACAAGGAAACCAGAAAGAAATAATAATCGGAGTAAAGTTCGGTCCCAAGCCTTTATCTCCCTCTAGCCACAGGGGCGCAACAGCCGAAATAGAATTTAGAGCAATTTTCGAAGCAGTGAAATGTTACTTTTGGACCACTAAAATACGAATTTGGAGCGTGTTACGCAAAAAACATGCATTTTTTTTATCACAAAAGACCGAATTCGGAGAAACATAAAAAAAAGAAGGCTTACATTTAGAAAAAAAAATAAGTACAAACTATTCAACATCACCTAAATTGTACAGTGTGAACATCAGCACTGCTATTTCAAAAAACGTGGTATTTTGAATCGCCCCACTCAGCAAACAATGATAAAGTCCACGTTACTTCGGCAAATCAAATCCTTTGACAGACTCTGCAAATTAAGATGTGAATCTGCCAAGCTTGTAACCTTCAATTTGAGAGATTCGTAGAACAGAGGAGTAAGGGTGGTGAAAAAAAAAAAAAAGATGGGTGCACAATTTTGTTAATTCGTTTTAGCGACGCACAAATGTCACACACTACTCCAAATCATTACCAGTAACGTTTTTAGACGTCAGTGATCATACTGGTACTCAGAATTATGCGGTGTATACAAGCATGAGTAATTGAACAAAATGAGCTGTGTGCTGTGACTAGCACTAACAGCCCCTTCTAAATCTTCACACGCTTTTCCGTAAGACACCAATGTACTGAGGCGAAGGCGGCTTAAGCAGTATTCTGCAATGGGTTAGAACAAGGCCAGCAAATTTTCGACCCCCCTCCTTTTTTTTTTTTCTTCCACTGCGGTGTTAGGTGCCCCTTCAGTTCGCTTTAAAGTAACAACAGCGTGCCCATAGCCCCAGTGATGGCAACGAATATCTATCGCTAGCCCGTGGCCAGGAAGACGCAACTTAAAGACGAAAAAGTTTTATGTGCCACTGCTACGACAACCAACGTGGTCGCTGGCAACGCCGGCGTTCGCAGCACTTTGAGCTTGTTCGTGCTCGGAAAAGTGGCATACCCCTTTAGCTTGAGTTCCTCTCATGCTATAACTGCATTTGCAGACCTAGGAAATTTCTATTTCTAGCGAAGCATTAGTAACTACAGAAACCCATTTCTGTCTTGAAGTTCCATTATCCCCGCTGATGCATTGGTTATTCTGCCATTATCCCGTTACCCGCTGCAGTCAGCAGACCAATGGGCGTGCAGCATTGTTACTTGATCTAGTCGATAGCATCTTGTAAGTGCCCCCCCCTAACAAGCATGTATCTCCCATCGTGGTTTAGGGTTAGGGTTTGCGTGCTTTATTTGGTAGATGACACAAACTGCAGGTAGTTGAACTGACAAACCTTTGAGGTTGATCGAGCATTTTGGTGCAGCGTGGCGCAATTTCAACAAATTTTATGATTTTGGTGCAGCTCGGTGCAACGATGGGGAGTAGTATTAAATTGGCACAACTTTCGCAGCTGTTGCACCCCTGTAGCCAAGATGGCGTCTCGGTAGCTGCTCTCATGCACTCCCGCCATAGTTGAACATTCTTGCTGTTCAGATGCCACCCTTGGAACTACAACAAAGTGGTACCGTCGCCGAAGTCGTCTGGGAAAATGTCACTGAATGGACCGCCCGTCTTTATTGCTGGTGTCACTTTCTTCTTCTTTTTCAGTTTCAGCCGTTTCGCCTTGGAGAAGGCAGCCAGTTGCAGTTTCCGCCATCGCAGCGCTGCAGTCGAACTTTGCGCCAACCAAACAAGGGTCGCATGCTACAGCTAAGCGCAGTGTAGCCAGTGTGAAGCACTTACACAACGATTTATTGTTAAGAGCGCGGCACCACACTTCTTGATTTAAGCACAAGGAGTATAACATAAGGCCTAGATGTGTGTGTGGAGTCCTTGCAGGCCCTTGGTAAAAATAATAGCTCGTGTAAGCGTGGTGCTGGGCGAGTATTTGTCAATTAAAGATAGGTTTTGTCCCCCTGTAACTTCTTGTTTTTCGTGGCCACGGCTCAACAAAGTGTAAAAGCTGTGGCTCATCTGGTTACAGCTTAGTTGTTTAGAAGCTACTTTTGCTAGTCTTGGCATAGAGATCTTCGACGCTGTGCACATTAACATTGCATAGCTATAAGCACCCCGGCGGGCCGTACCATATAGGAAATTGAAACCGAGCCATTGCTGTAAGGTATTAGCCACATTTAAAATCCCACTGAAGCGACGCTATTTCTCTGTTTAGCCGGTATAAATCAGTGCACTTTCTTCTTCTGAGGTATATAGATTTATGGGTGTCTATCAGTGGATAACACTCAGGATTGTTCAAATAAAAAAGGCAAATATTGTGAAAATAGGAAAACATCAATGCATTGACACAAGAACACTTGCCATAATCACACACTAGTCACGAGCATTCGAATTGCAAACAAGTGCATAGCTGAATTTCTGTAACGATTTGGGCTTGTGAGCAGCAAACAAAGCATGAGCCTATCTGTTGTGTACCTATACCTATTCGGTAATTTTGCTTCTTGCTGCATGATGGCTGTACAATGAATGGACACATTCTACACTCAGATAAATCTTCCAACAAGATCACTGAGAGTCACTGGTATTGCAATTTCAATTTTTTTTTTTTTCACTCAGCCCGTGTATCTCAAGTTTTCTTCGTTTTCGAGCGGCAGTGGCACAGATCAAGCGTTTCTTTAATTCGCTGGTTGAAATCTACGCATTGTTCTTGGTTGTTTTTGCCATTTTACTTTTTTTTCCCAAGTGTTCTCCCTAAAATGACACAAGACACACATATCTCTGTTAGCACCAGTAAGCCCACACAGTCCTTGTAATGAATATTTCTTAGCGGCACACTTTCTCCTTTTTGCTGAGCCAGTAGATGTATTCTTCGAACTCCTGAATTATAGAAGAATATTAGTTGAAGTTTTTCTGCCTCCTCAGGGACTGGCGAACTCGAGTTGCAGGAAAGTTGAAGCACACTTTTTTCCAATTGCTCTGAAAAACTGGAGTCCACCGAAAGAGTGGATACCTGTTGCCAGGATTCTTCTGGGAGATTGCAAAGCAGCAGCAGTTGGTTGCTGCACAGGTACCCCCCTTTTTTTTTTTTTGCAGCTTCATGACAAGTACACAGGGAGGTTCAGAAATAAACAAGAAACTGCATCACTCCTCAATGAACATGCAGCATGAAATATTTCGACTTCTCAATTTATGATATGCTTATATGTCTTCAGAATGCAGCTTTCTTGAAAGTGAACATCGTCCACCTTGTCAGTCTTTCCCCAACGTTCCCACTTCTGCAGAAACACCGGGTTGGACGAAAGAGAAAAGCGGTGTTCCTCGGGGCTTTTCCTGCACCCATTGGTGCGTCCAGTTACAAAACATCGTTATGATGTCCAGAAGGTCTAAGCTACGACGAGTGGGATAGCAGCAACAATAGAATTAACCTCGGGAGATGTACCACAAGCTCAATGTGTCCACACCTCATCAAAGCCTAGATCGTGCCCATGATGTGAACATTCAGAGAGTTTCCTACGTCGTAGATGTCCGAGTATCTTCGTGACCGTAGGTGTCGAATTGTCTTCAGAAGACCGTGGAAGCATGCCATGTGTACAGAAAGCGACGAGACATACACACTGAAAAAACGCCAGGCCTGCGCGTGGCGCAGCACAGTCACAGTGAAAGCTAGAAGAGCGGCCTTGCAGAACCTTTTCAACACACTCATTGGGTAACTACTGCAAGCACAGTCACTTGGTACCCACTAGGGCATTAATAATAAGGTTTTGGGTAGTAGGCCGGCATTCGCTATGCTATTTTTCGGGAACGAATTGCAACTCATGATTACGAAGTTAGACAAGGAAATCAGAAAGGTGGGTCTTAAAATTAATCTGCAGAAAACGAAAGTAATGTACAACAATCTCGGAAACGAGCAGCGCTTCGTGATAGGTAAAAGTGCACTGCAAGTTGTAAAAGACTATGTCTACTTAGGGCAGGTAACAACTGCGGAGCCAAACCACGAGATTGAAGTAACTAGAAGAATAAGAATGGGGTGCAGCACATTTGGCAAGCACTCTCAAATTATGACATGTAGATTACCACTATCCCTCAAGAGGAAGGTATATAACAGCCGTATCTTGCTGGTACTTAGCTACGGAGCAGGAACCTGGAGACTTACAAAGAGGGTTCAGCTTAAATTGAGGACGACGCAGCGAGCAATGGAAAGAAAAATGGTAGGTGTAACCTTAAGAGACAAGAAGAGAGCAGAGTGGA